TCTTTCTTTCTTTCTTTCTTTCTTTCTTTCTTTCCTTCTTTCTTTTTCTCTCTTTCTCTTTTTATTTCTTCTCTTTTTTTCTCTCATTCTTCTTGCTTGTTTCCTTTCTGTCTCTCTCCTGCCCCTGCCCCCCTTTTATCTCTCTCCCTCGATGTTTTTCACAAAGGGATACATCTAGCTTAGGAATGTGGCACTGAGCTAATTAGCCAGGCAAATAAATAAATACAGTAGAATATACAAATAAAGGTGGCCACACCTGCAGGCACTTGGGTTGAGTGAGAGGGGCCCAGACCCTCGACAGAGGGTCACGCTGGCCTCTTTTCCACCACCACTGACTGTCCTGCAAGCACAGCTGACACCACTTCGCCTCCAGCAAGGTCAGAGCACAGCGTCACAGGAACAGAGGCAGCATTGTCTTCACGTTCACACGGAAACACCGTCCAATGTGCTCTGATCAGCAGCTGCAACGTGGCCTTCCCCATGGTGGCAGCACCAGGGCCTCCCTTGAAAGCCATCTGCCTCATCCTCCAATGGCCACTTTTCTTCCTTAAATCTGCCTTCCATAAAATGCCTTTTCTTGGCTTTTTAAAAACTCTTCAATCCTTCTGGGACTGTGAGAATTCTCACCTTCCCTATTTCTACAAATTGCCTTTAAATTAGAAGTTATTTGACCGGTGGTAGGCACAGTCACTTGGAGCCAAAAGCTCAATACGAGCTATGATTAATGAATTATAAAGCCAATTCACTGAGCCATGACATTAGTGCAGCACTGTCGTAAGCAGGAACTAATTATATGTGGAAATAATCATTCAACCTGAGAAAGGCATTTCCTATCCATTAGAAAATACTATGAAGAGATAATACTTAAAAAAAATCCATATTACTACTATTGGCCAAAACAAAAGATTATTCACTCTTTGAAAACAAATTTGGATTTTGGCTTAATTATAGGTTTTGCTCTTATGATAAAAGAAATGCTACTTGATTATTTGATTATAAGCAATTTAGTACATGACCAGTTCTTGAAAAAAAATTCTTTTAATTAAAAGCTCTCAATTTGCGTTTTATTAACAAAAGCCTCCATGGGCAAAAAAATGTTTTGAAGACTATAACACAGGTCTAGGGAAAATTTTTGGTGATTATTGTTCATTTATTTTCCTTATTAAGCTAATTTAATTATCATTGAGACACAAACATTAGCTCCAGTACTGGGCTTCTCACATCTGTTAGTAAAGATTTGATTAGGGCTACACAAATGTGCTAGATTAAACTATCTAGTTGGTGAAATTCAAGCCACCTGGATATTTTAGCAACATCAATAAGAATAATTCTCTTTTTCAAAATCAGTAAATCCAAGCTATATTAAAAAGAATTAATTAATGAGTGCCAGATAGGCAAAACAAACATTTGACAATGAATCATATTATCAAAGGTTTTGAGGGAGATCCCTCTCAGCTTATGTTTAGATGTCAAATTATATTACCAAAACTAAACAATCTGTTAAGATGATGTCTTAATGCAGTAAGTCTCCAGTGCCATACGGGGTTTTCTTGATTTTTTTTTCTTAACTTCTTAAACATCATTAATAGAAAAAAAGATATGCTCTATTTACCGATGATAATCAAATCATAAGACATTTGCCCCAAAATGTTACCTTGGATATTTCCAAGAGCTGTTAATCATTGAAATCCTATTTAAGATATTGTTACAAAGTTTAGTTAATGTATCACACATATATCTTGACGTATGCTTCATAGGAGGAACTCAGTAAAGAATTAATATATAAACATTCCGGGTTTCATAAAATATATAAAGAATTCTAGAATTAGAAAGGACTCAAAAAAAAAAAATCCAGTCTAGGGCTGGCAAACTTATTCTGTCAATGGGCAGATAGTAAATAATATCGGCTTTGTGAGCCTGATGGTCTCTGTAACAACTATTCAACTTTGCCCTTGTAGTCATAGACAAGAGTAAACTAATGGGCATGTTTGTGTTTCAACAAAACTTTATTTACAAAAGCAAGGGGCAGATGGAATTTGGCCCACCAGCAGTATATTGATAATTCCTCATGGAACCCAACTTCCATATTTTAAAAACCAGACACCTTTGGCTTCATGTGGGATGGCAGCTTGCCCAAGGTTAAACAGAAAGTTAAGCAGCAAGTGGCAGAGTTGAAGTTGAATTTGACCCTCTCAGCTTCCAGGGAAGTGCTGAATTCATTGTAATGACACAGGGATGGCTGGCTGTGTCCAGATGGAAAGTCTGCCACACCCTTAAAGCAGATCTGAAATGCTTCATGCATTTGATGTCTATAGAATTGTGATGTGTGGATGACTCTTCACATCTCAAGTGAATAAGCTGCTTTTCAGAGACCTAAGCAGAATCACAAATAATATTTTTTGGGAAAGGAACATGAACATCCGTACAGTTAACCAAGCATGAAAATGCTCGCCTGAAAAGCCACACATGGCTTGCTTCATTAAAGACCATTTCAGTCTTGAAAAACTGCATTTCTATTGAATATTTATAACAAATATGATTGAATAAGAAGAATTTAAAGTGGAAAAAACCCTATGTGTTGTGATTCCAAATTAAATCTTATTTTCATGGTTGACAGTGTTTTGTATTCCCCAGGTTTGTATGGTAAAAAGAACCATCTTACTACAATGCCCTTTTCCAGCACCAAGTGATAAGACTTTCTATATTAACACTTGAGTCACCAACATTCATTTTCCAGTGTGGTTTCCTCCTTTCACATAACTCATTCTTTTCATTTGGAAGAAAGTAGAAGAAATGAGTCCCTAAGCAATCCTAAATGGGGACATGGGTGTAGGTCTTTCTCTGGGATATCTGCTTGGAAGGGCTTTGTAATCCTTGCTCTAAAACTGACAGTCCAGAAAGACATGATTGATGAAAGGGAACTGGATGTTTGAGTCAAAATGCACCGTCATTAACTAACTGAACCAAGTAAATGAAATGGAGTTTCGAAGGGGCAGTGGGGCACATTCTTCTTGAAAACATGGGCCCAATGTTCAGGATGTGTTTTACTGAAGGGGGTAGGGGAGTGGTGGGAGCCATTACTTAATGGATCCCAGCTTGCAAAGGTGAAATAGCCCATACTATATATACATATACATATGTATATGTGTATATACATATATATATATGTATATATATACACACACACACACACGCACACACACACTTTTTTTTCTTCAGCAACTCTGTGTTGATGTTGATTTGCACATCTCTCACTGAACAGATGAGGGTGCACAGTCTCCTGTGTCATGCATTTTCTGGCTCTGAAATCACAAAAATAATACTCATAGATGCAAATAAAATTATGCTGCTGTAATTGTTTTCTGTAGTTTAGTTAGGTATTTTACACCAGCTTAGAAGTAAATTAACCTGTATGTTTTACTACTTTATGTAATCAAAAATAAACAATATGAAAATCTTACATTTATGTGAAATTATATTTTCATATATGGTTTTCTTTTTGATCAAAATGGTAGATTGTTAAAATTAACTGCATTATTTTTATAATACCTCATGTTAGAACTTAGCTCATATGTAATATCAAGGACAGCTTTAGGGTATAATAAAAATCCATATATTATTGAAATATTGGAGCATATAAATGTTTTTAAAATAAAAGTTCTTCAACCTCTGCCCCACCATCAGCTCCCAAATGCAAAAAATCTACCACATTGCTTTAGGTCAAGGACAAGGAAGCATGAATGATTCAGATGAACACCTTTTGAACTTTTTTCAGGAAGACTTGAGTAGTAGGATAACTTAAAGCCTTAACCAGAATGAATGCAGGTGGCCCTTTCTTGGCTTGAGACATCTTGAAACAGTTTTCGTGCCTAGCAAGGAGGCTCTTGTGTCATTGTGGTGAGCTCAAGAGGGACAGAAAGAGAGTATGCAAATGAGTGCATATTTATTGGTTCAGGAGCAAGACTAACCACCTTAGAGTTGAGTGGTACAAAATCTCGTTACTCTTTTTTAGAAGCTGGCCAGAGTACATAAAGGGAATAAAAGTGCATTTTCATTATGTTTTATTCACTGAAGGAATTTCTGGTTTTTTTTTTTTTTTTTTTTTTTTTGTAATAGATGCTTAAAGAATACAGGACAGCATGTTATGCAAGAATAACAAAGACAAACAATTAGCAAACTATTGAGTTAGAGTGGATCTACTGCGGTGCATGTTTAATTGTAGGACTAAACAAATGTCTGTGCATTGTTAATGGGTGAAAATATTGGCTGAGCTAGCTGAGCTATTCCTGCTTATAAAATAGAACCTGAAGCAAGTATATAAGGCTTTGTAGTTTGCATTTTTGTGTTAGTCTTATTCTTTACTCCATGTTGTTTTCTTACTTTTGTTTTTCTCCTCATTTACGTTATCTTGAAATATCTTATGTACACTTAGAAGCTACTTTAGGTCCAATTTAGAACTACAGCGACACATATAGTTTGAATTTTACACAATTATAGAAATTTGAAGATGTTATCATTCACTGATAGGCACAAATTATTATAAGAAAAGCTGAAGTCATTAGCCCAAATAAAGGATTAGAATTAACAATGAAAGTGAACTTAGAGCATAATTAATGAATTCTCTAATTGCTCTTCCTGTGTTAGTTCATTAAGCCTGACTATTGAGTGGATATTCAGGCATCTGTCTCCAACATCTGTCATCTCATTGATTCCCTGAGTTGATGCTATTGAAGCCTGGGAGGAAGGGTGCCTTTCCTCCTTCACTGTTCTTTGCATTTCCCTCCAAAATGAACATGCTAAGAAAACGAAAACCTTTCTCTAATATGATTGTCTGACAATGGGCAGAACCACTATGAGACTTCCATGGAAAGGATGGAGATTATGCTTTCTTCAACCTTCGCTGTAGTCGATTGTGCACACTTGATAGTAGAGCAGCTCTTGGTCATGTGTCACTTTTAGGCTCGGGGTTTTACTGGTGATGAGATAATATTTGGGCAGATATCTGCTCAAACAGATGACATCCCCAAGAAATGAACCCACAGACTCATTCGTTGGGAACAAGTTCACAGTCAATGTGTGGGAGGCACCGCATGACCCTCCCAAGCAGGAAAACTTGCAATAGGTCATACTGCGTTCAAAGACTGACAGCATAGAGGGGAAATGAGCTCATCCTTTACTTGTCTGGTATTCTAGTCCAACCTTTATTAGACTGCTGTTCTAGGTAACCCACTCACTAAAAATTGCAGGAGCAGAAAGATCTAAAAAGGTGTATCACTATCTTGTTATCAGCTTGTTAAATTCCAGGACTTTGCATTAAAAAGGAATAGTTGCTTAGGCCATTATTAAAAGGAAAAGTAGCACTTTAGCTGCAGAGTAGTTGGCTGGCAAAAGCAATCCCAGGATAAGTTCAAAGCTGGAAATGATGTTGGTTGTGGGGCAGCATGCTGGGTTAAAACACTTTCTTTGCAGATACAGGTAGTGATTTACACACGTAATTGAACTGCGTTCAGGATATATATCATAAAGCTCACAGCTATTTTAAAAATAAGTTGGCTTCAGCTTGTACCTGCAGATACTTATATGTACACTTGTTTGTGACCACTAGTATTAATAATGTGTAACATTTGAGATATTTCAGAGTTCCACACTTGACCTTGCCCAAAAGATCTAGAAGTAATTTTTTTCAGAGTTCCAGTTGCATGGATTTATTAGAAAATGCTCTTCTGGGTGGAAGATATGGCTTGCTATTGTATTTCCCTTTTGCAGAAAAGTAAGTCCAACAAATCAGTGAAATTATTATAGACAGAAATTATCTACGGGGCTCCACTTCCCCAGGCTATATTTCAAATTGGTGTGGGGATGGAGGGCTATATGGAAGTTAAGGGGTGGAAAAACCATGGAATAATCAGAAGATTAAGTTTCCAGTCCAGATTCTGCCACCAAACAACCTCATAACCTCAGCAGGTCTTCTTTCTGTTCTGTCTTTGTAGAAGAAAGAGTTGAACTCACTGATTTCTGAAGCTTCTTTCCAGGTCTGACTTGTTTGGACATTATGTGCTTTCTCCTCTGGAGAAACAAGGCTTATTCCCTGTGGGTGGTGGTCTGAGGAAATCACTCTCAGCGAGTAAACTGCCCTCCTCTCCCTACAGTGGGAATCACAAATTCCTCTCCACTTAAGTTGCCAGTGCTTTTGCATTTTAAAATTACTAAGATGAAAGATCATCAACCTGATCAATCAATTCATCCAGAAGGTCCTGGTTGATCATCTTGTAAGTAAAGTACACTCATTGGCTCTTTGGCTTATTTATTTGTTTATTCACTTAATCAACAAATATTTACTGAGTACTTGCTATGGGCCTGTCACTACAAAGAGGATAAAGCAAAGAACATGACAGAGGAGTCCCTGTCCTTCTGAAGCTCATGACTGAATGAAAGACGTAGATTTTAAAGCATAAGTGATTACAATAGAGTGAAAGGAATAAAAATGTAAGTAGGTACAGAAAGCTGTGAGAATACTTAGCAGGGGAGTCCCAATCCAATCTAAGGGTCAGGGAAGATGCTTCCTGAAGGGCTAGTATTTAAGCAGAGACCTAAAATATGAGGCAAAGTTAGTGAGCTGAAGGGAGTCTTGGAGGGAGGGAAGAGAGCAAAAGTCATTTATTCATGTTCTGCAAATCACCTGACAGATGGAGGCACCTGCTCCAGGTGACAGGATATTAATGGGCAGCTCAAAAGGAGACAAGGGAACCCTTTGAAACAGGAAAATACGTGAAGTCTGATTCTGACCTTTGGAGGGATTGAAGGATTCAAAGAGGATGTATCATACAGGCTCTTACTTACAAGCAATAGACCTTGACTCTAGAAGATATATGCACAAAAGGTACTTATGTAAAAACACATTGGGTAGGACCATTTCTTTCAATCAAATTGAAATGAGACTGATTTTACTCTCCTGAAACAACCGAAAAGCCAACAGAATAGCTTCAAAACAGTTTTTGAGATACTGATTATCAAACAATGGAGAACACTGATCCCTAGGAGACAGGTTTATTAATGAGGTGACCCTAGGATTGCCCCAGCTTACTGCCTGGAGTGAGTTTCCAGGCTGTGATGCAGGACCAGACAACCTGGCAGATTCACTGGTTGAAGAAGTGGAACTGAGAATCCGAGGAGACCAAAGGAGCTCAAGTTCACAAGACAGGGTGCCAGTGAGGAGAGAAGGCACACGAGGAGAATTCCAGAAACCTGCCGAGGACCACCTGCAAATAATTAGCTGATTATTTTTCATTGCAGGTGTATGAAGAAACTATCCAAGCTAAGGAAAAAAATAAAAACAAAAACAAAAACTGAAAGGATTAGAGGCAGCAGCATCCAGCATATCACAGGATCTGGAAAGTGGTGTGTTCCCACCAGCCAGACTGGACAACTTCCTGGTTCATAGGGCATTGGTTCACTGTGCATTGATAGTGGTTGGAAATTAATGTCTTTAGACTGAGCACACCTCTGCTACCACATCCCAGATCTTAAAAGTAAAACCCAACAGTCCAAACTGTTTTCAAATAACTGAACTATGTCACAAAACAGCTCAAAAATATTTACAGGAATATAAAAATATCAAGCACACAATAAGAAAAAACTTATACTGTCTGGCATTCAGAAATAACTAGGCATGTAGAAAAATGGAAAAATATGACCTCAATGAAAATAAATCAATCAAAAGCAACCTGTACTGACATAGATGTTATAAGTAGCAAACAAGAATATCCAATTATTGTATATATTTCATATATTTAAAAAATTAGGCAGAGACATACATGGAAGATATTTTTAAAATACTCGAATTGAGGTCCTAAAAATCTGCAGTGTATGAGATGGCAAAAACATTGTATGGGATTAACAGAAGATTAGACCTTGCAGAAGGAAGGATCAGTGAACTTGAAGATATATCTACAGAAACTTTCAAGACGAAGCACAGAAGGAAAAAAAAATTTTTTTTCAGCTCACTGCAACCTCCGCTTCCTGGGTTCAAGTGATTCTCCTGCCACAGCCTCTTGAGTACCTGGGACTACAGGAATGTGTCACCATGCTCAACTAATTTTTTGTATTTTTAGTAGAGATGGGGTTTCACCATGTTAGCCAGGATGGTCTCGATCTCTTGACCTCATGATCCACCCACCTTGGTCTTCTCAAAGTGCTAAGATTACAGGCATGAGCCACCACACCTGGTCAAACAAAATTTTTTTTTTTTTTTTTAATGAAAATAGCATTAGTGAGCTGTGAGACTTTAGAGGCGTAATATAACTAGAACTGGAATTTTTGAAGAGGAGGAGGGATGGGGAACAGAAAAAAATATTTGAAGAAATAACATCTGAAAAGTTTTCCAGTTTCATGAAAACTAGGCACGTAGAAAAATGTAAATCCAGAGAGCCAAAAAGTTAGACAAAACACAAGCATGTGAAACATGAAGAAAACCATACCTAGACACATCATAATCACATGGCTCAATAGCAAAATTGTTTTAAAAATTCTAAGAAATAAAAAATTCTAAAAAGTAGCCAGAGGGAAAACAAAGTTATGCTACATATAGAGGAAAAAAGATATGGATTCTAACAGATTTCTTGTCAGAAACAATGTGAGAAGACAGTACAGCAACATGCTTATAGAGCTAAAAACAAATTTGTGAACCCAGAGTTCTGTACCATAAAAATATCCTCCACAAATATAGAAATAAAGTCTTCTTCAGAGTTTTCAGAAAATACAGATTTTCATCAAGGAATGAAAAGAAGAGGAAATGGTATTTACATAGTTAAATATTTTTTTCTTATATTGTTTAAAAAATTTTTTTAAACAATCATTGACTATTTAAACAAAAGTAGTTACAATGTAGTATGGATTTGTAACACATGTGAAAGTAAAATTTGTAGCAATAGCCAAGGTCTAAGAAAGGAGAAATGGAAGCATAATATTAAAAAAAAAACCTTATAACACATGTGAAGTCATATAACATCATTTGAAGGAATATTGTAATAAATTGAATAGGTATACTGTAAACCCTCAATAAATTAAATATGTGTACTATAAACCCAATCATAAAGATGACAGCAAAGAGTTATGGCTAAGGAGCCAACAAAGGAAATAAAAATTGAATAACGACAAATATTCAATTAATCCAGGAGAAGACAGAAAAAAGAGAGGAAAAGGGAGCAAATAACTGAAGGGATAAATAGCAAACAAAGAGCAAGATGATAGACTTAACCCTAACTATATCAATAAGCACATTAAATGTAAATGATGAGAACACCTCAACTAAAAGCAGAAATCATAAGGCGGGGTATCCTGCCTATAAGAAGCCCATGTTACACATAAAGACACAAAAAGTTTAAAAGTAAAAGGATGAACAATACATACTATGCCACACTAATCAAAAGAAAGTTAAAGTGGCTACATTAATATTAGACAAAGTAGGTTTCACATAAAAAATTTTACCAGAAATAAGGAAGGCCATTTCATAATTTTAAAAAGGTGACTTCATTAAGGGACATAATGATCCTAAATATTTATGTACTCAATAACAGAGCGTCAAAGTATATGAGTAAAACTCATAGAACTGAAAAGGGAAATTCAAAAATCAAAAATGATAGCTACAGATTAGAATACACCTCTATTACTAATTGGTCAAAGAAGTAGACAATCACTAACAATATACTATAGAATATCTAAATAATATTATCAACCAGCTTGATCTGATGGGCATTTATGGAACGCTCCACCTAATAACAGCATAATATACATTATTTTTTAAGGACATAAATTACATTTACCAAGGACTATATTTTGGGCTATAAAAAGTGCTCAAAAAATTTAAAGGAATTCAAGTGGACACAAAGTATATTCTCTGACCAAAATGAAACTAAATTAGAAAACAATGACAGAAAAATATTTGGCAAATCACCAAATATTTAGAAATAACATACTTCTAAATAAACCACTGGTCAAAAAGAAATCAAAAGGGAAATTAGAAAATAGTTTCAACTGAATGAAAATCTGAATACAACATATCAAACTTTGTGAGATGCTGTTAAATAGTACTTAGAAATACAGTTAGCATTAAATGCATATGAGAGAAAAGAAACATCTCAAATCAATGACCTAATTTTTCACCTTGGAAAACTAGCAAGAAAAGAGAAAATAAAACACACAGTAAGAAGAAGAAAGGAATGATAAAAATGGGAGCAGAAACTAATAGAATAAAGACCAGAAAAACAGTAGAGAAAATCCATGAAACAAAAAATTAGCTCTTTGAAAGGGTCAGTAAAATTGAAAAATCTCTAGCCATACTGATCAAGAAAAAAGTAGAAAACACAAATTACCAATATCAGAAATGAGAGAGTTGGGTGATATCACTACAGAATCTACAGATATTAAAATAATAATAATGAGATTTTATGAAACATTTTATGTCAATAAATTCAACAGCTTAGACAAAAGAAACTAATTCCTTGAAAGACATAAACTATCAAAAACTCACTCACAAAGAAATAGACAACCTGAATAGCCCTACGTCTAAATTGAATTTGTAGGCAAAAACTTCCCACAAAGAAAACTCCAGGCCCAGGCGGCTTCACTGGAGAATTCTACATTAAAGAAATTAATAATAACAATGCTACACAAAGTCTTCCAGAAAACTGAAAATGAGGGAATGCTTCCTAACTCATTCTCATTCTATGAGGCCAGCATTTCCCTGATAGCTAAACCAAACAAAGATATCATGAGAAAAGAGAACTACAAACTAATACTGTTGTTCACATGGATGTAAACATTCTAAAAAAAATTCAGCAAATTGAATTCAATAATATATTGAAAGGGGTAATATATCATGTCTGTTATGGAAGGTTTTCTATGTAACATTAAAAAAGCAACCATAATTCACCATACGAATAAACACAAAAGAAAAATCATTTGATGATCACAACACATGCAGAAACAGCATTTGACAAAATTCTATAGCATTCCTGTTCTTTTCTCCGTAAACATTCCATTCTTTATAACCTAGGAATAAAAGGGAACTTCCTCACGCTGTTCAAAAGCATTTAATTAAAAACCTACAGCTAACATTGTACTTACTGCATGTTTTCCCTCTAAGAACAGGAATGAGACAGGAAGGTGTACTCTCCCTGCTTCTATTCAACATTTATTGGAATTTCCAACAAGTGTAATAAGTCAACATATGGTACAAAAGTGTGGCTTAAACCTGTAATCCTAGCACTTTGAGAGGCCTAGGCAGGTGAATCACCTGAGGTCAGAAGTTCGAGACCAGCCTGGCCAACATGGTGAAACCCTGTCTCTACTAAAAATACAAAAATTAGCTAGGCATGGTGGCGGGTGCCTGTAATTCCAGCTACTTGGGAAGCTGAGGCAGGAGATGCCTTGAACATTATGGGGGTGGAGGTTACAGTGAGCCGAGATGATGCCATTGTACTCCAGCCTGGGCAACAAGAGTGAAACTCTGTCCCCAAAAAAAAAAAAAAAAAAAAAAGTCATCCAGATTGAAAAGAAATAAAACTGTCTTTATTTGCGAAAGACATAATTAGCAGAAAATCTGATGAACTCTACTCAAACATTACTACAACTAATAAATGAGTTTAGTAAGCTTTCAGGATACCAGATTAACATCCAAAAATCAATTATATATATATATCAAACAAGAATGAAAATTATAAAAACAATACCATTTATAATAGCATTATATAACATGAAATACTTAGAAGGAGATCTACCTAAAGATCTGTCCCTAAAGAGAAGCCTGACTAACACAGATGTGAAAGACCTGCATACTGAAAACTATGAAAACATGGCAGAAAGATATTAAAAGAGACTTAAATAAATGAATAACTTTTGTTCTTTTGTGAATAAGTTGTGAATAAGTGAAATTACATTTTCAGTTGTTTCCTTAGTTCATGTACAAATTCAATGCAATCCTAATTAAAATTCCAGCAGATGATTTTGTAGAAATTGACCAGCTTATTCTAGAAGTTCATATTAAAACATGAAGGATCTGGATTAGCCAAAACAGCTATAAAAAAGAAGAACAACTTTGGAGTACTAACACTGCCTGACTTATGACATATGAAATTACAGTAGCCAAGACACAGTGGTATTGACATAAAGATAGAAAAAGAGATAAATGGAATAGAATAGAGTCTAGAGCTAGACCTTCACATATCCAGACCACTAATTTTCAATAAAAGTGCAAAGGCAATACTGTGACAAAGGGATAATTTCTTTTTTAAATGGGTCAGAGCAATTGGATATGTATTTGCAAAGACATGTAAACTTAAAACTATACAACTTTGATGAAAATAACATAGGAGAAAACTTTGTAACCTGGGGTTGGGCAAAAAATACTTAGATGTAATGGCAAGCTTAATTCAGAAAGAAGCCAATTGATAAATTGGACTTAGTCAAAATTTAAAACTTTCGCTGTTCAAAAGACACTGCCAAGGAAATGGAAAAAAGAAGACATGAACTGGAAGAAAACATTTGCAAATTATATATCTAATAAAGCACTTGTATACAGAATATATAAAGAACCCTCAGAACTCAATAATTTTAAAAAAAACAAAAGAATGTGCAAAAGAGTTGAAGCATACTTCGTCAAAGAAGAAATACAGTGACAAATAAGCACATGAAGAAAGGCTGACATCATTAGACAATAGAAAAATGCAAAGCAAAGCTGTAATGAGATACCACTACACACCTATTAGAATGACTAAATTAAAAGTCTGACTATACCCAATGTTAGTGAGGAGGTGAAGAGATTAGAACTCTCATACACAGGTACAACTGATGTGGAAAACAGTTTGCCAGTTTCTGAAAACATTAGATATCCACTTACTATATGATCTAGCCATTCCACTACCAGGTATTATTTATCCAAGAGAAACAAAAGCACAT